CCCACATGAGTTATTCTCAACCCTGAACCATCACCAATTAACATTTCACCGTGACCATCATAATGAGAATAAAGTGAGAGATTTGCCAGGTTTGAAGTAATATGATGTGAAGCTTAGAGTCCAAAATCCATTCTTGATTAGAAGCAGTAAAAACCAGTTTCCAACCTATTATGCTTGTAGAAGATGTTGCCATTAGGATCGTAGAAAAAAAAAAAAAGCTCATTAGAGAAGATGGTGCTCTGATATCATATAACACAAAGGCTAGGAGATGATGAAAGTATGCAACAATAATAATAATATTAAAGTATTGCAAGTATATATACAAGGAACAATAAAACCCTAACTATAAATATAAGGACATAACTTTACAAATATTACATATTTACTTCTTTACTTGACTCGTGACCCGAGCGTATTGAACCTGAACCTGAATCTTATGCACTTGACTTGCTTGCTAGGTTTAACTTCTATTATTCTCTTAATTAATTAATGCAAAAAATGGTTTTGTATTTGTGTTAGTGTTACACAACCCTCGTTTTTACAAATAGTATATAGAATACAATTTAATATTCATTTTGTTATAAAATAATTATTTTTTTTAATTTTTTTCTTAAATTAAGGATTTAGAGATAATATTTGTATTGATTTATAATACCTCAAAAATAAAAATAAAAGATAAATAAAGATTTTTTGTAATTAGATAATTAATTAAAATGAATGGATAATTATAGGGTTAAAAGAGGATTAAAAATATTTGTTTATCTTAAAAAATAAAAAATTAATAATTAATTTGGGATAAATTCAAAATTAAAAAATGATAATTATTTTAAGATAGAAGAAATAAGAGTCCTCTCTTTTATTATTAAAATTGTATTATACCACATGATAAGAATTATTAGATGAGAAATAGTTTCTAATATAAGGAGAAACACCACATCTAATAGTATATAATACATTTAATAGTTTAAACTACACTATATATATATATATTTGGAATGCTTGATTTTATTTTTTTAAAGGATTAAAAACACCAGTCCACAAAACAGAACAAAGCCCCCTACATTTTCTATCTAATCCAGATCCAGGAGTTTATCTGCATTGTATATTTGTATCAAATAGTTTCACCAACTCTCCTCTTTTGTTTCTCAAATACCGGCCTTCCCTTCCCTCCCGCAAATAATTTCCAACTAAAAATGTCCTCCCTAACTTGGTGTTATGAATTGCCCTACATAAATTGCCCTACCAACTATAGCATTTTCTCCATAATTCTTGCCCCTTCACGCATCCTGCAAATAAATTGTCATTATTTTCTTCCAACTCACCACAAGGAACACAGACTTAAGCCGCTGCGTCATTGATTTTTTTTCTTCCCTCTCATCAAATTTTCTTTTATAGGGGACACGTCCTTTACTACTCACCACACAAACACGAAAACCTTCAAAAGGAGCCAATTTATTCTATATCAACTTGCATAAATCCCTTGACATTCATGAATTGTGTTATCCACTAGCAAATTATTGTCCATATCAACCAGTTATATATATGTCGAGCGAAATGTGTAGATTCCTAAAGAGTCTCTATAAGACATTCCCATTTTATTGACATGTTATTTCACTTTAGTTATTTAATGGTTGTATAGTAAAATTTTCTCATGTAAATGTGAAAATTGAGTTTGTAGGTTTTAATATAAGATTTGTATATAATTGCGGGGCCACATTTTGGGATTTTAATTAGGAGCTTTTTTATTTTTTTTAATCATATAGTGCTTTTAGATTTATGTATATTTAATAATTTTTTTTAAATTACCTTTTTCAAAAATTATAGAAAAGTAAATCATATTTACAATAATTTTATATATAAAGTCAAAATTTTCATTTAAAAATTTTTTAACTATATTTTTATAGA